GACTTTTCTACGCAAAAAAGGTGCTCTTGTAATATTTCGATAGATATCACCGTTTTCGATTTATTTAAACTCGAAGGTATACAGGTATTTTATTGTAATCGTTACATTTCTTAATATTCATCAAGTATGCCTTGAAATTGACACTTGTGTTAGCAACAACACTTTAATCTCAAGTAGTCTATGAATTGTCAGTGACGTACGTTTAATAACAATTAAATTATTTTATCTACACTTTTATTGTACTCGATAGTGAAATTTGTTTAACACGTCTCTTTTGCTATATTTTTTAATTTGTTTGCCCGCAATATGGTACACTATTCAAATTCTGAGATGACAGACATACTTTTACTATTAGGGGAATGTTCGGGAAATGCTGCTGCCGCTGTAAGACGCTACAGAGAAAAGTATCCGAACAGAAATATTCCCAATGCCAGGACTTTTGTAAGTACTGAACGACGACTGAGAGAAACCGGTTGTCTTCAAAGAAGGAATACAGATGCTGGTCGTCGTAGAGAAGCAAGAAATGTTCGCCTTGAACATCAAATATTGGATGCTGTAATAAATGACCCCACAATAAGTACACGCAGGTTAGGATTAAGAACGAATATTTCCCATCAAAGTGTTTTAAGAGCAATTACATCCTTACCACTATCGACAGGTGCAGGAATTGTTACCTGACGATATGCAACTTGAGTTGATTTTTGTGAAATATTGCAAAATAAAGTTCAAACTGCACCAAATTTTTTAAGCAACATTCTGTTTACAGACGGGGCCACATTTACAAGACAAGGTATGTTCAATTCTAGAAATATGCACTTCTGGGCTGAAGAAAATCCAAGGGCTACAATGGAAACTCAGTTCCAACACACGTTCAAGATAAACGTTTGGGCAGCTACTTTAGGAAATAGTTTCATAGGATACCACATCTTTCCCGGAAATTTAAATGGTAATATGTATTACAATTTTCTAGACAATATTTTAGATGATATTTTGGAAGATATTCCATTACAAATACGAAGAAACATGTTTTTCATGCATCATGGTGCTACACCACATTACACAAGAATTTGTAGAAGGTGTTACATGAACATTTCCCTGATAGGTCGATAGGCCAGGATGCGGATGCACCGATTCATTGGCCTGCTCGTAGTTGTGATCTTAATCCAATGGACTTTACAGTATGGAGTTATTTGAAATCAAAAGTGTATAACACTCCAATTAATACTCATCAGTAAATGAGTTAAGAGACAAAATTGAACAAGTATTTACCGATTTACAAAACGATCCAGTAGCATTAAATGGATTAATGCGTTCGCTAAATAAAAGAATTAGATTATGTATTCAACAAAATGGAGGACATTTTGAACAGTTGTTGTGAAATATTATTTTCGCCATTAATTAAATGTTAGGTATTAATTAAGTTTTCCATTAATTTGTAATATTATTGCTAGAACAAGTGTCAATTCCAAAGCACAATTGATAAATATTGGCATAAATATTTGGGAATTTATCTTCTGCCAAAATGGCATATTTCTCATTGTTCGAGTCCCATCTTCGATATGGGCTTCCATTTTGGGGTTCTAGTACAGCGGCCCAATTTGATACTATTTTTAAGTTGCAAAAAAGAGCAATCCGTTATCTATTTGGTCTCAAACAAACAACTCATTGCAAGACTTACTTCAAAAATCACGGAATTTTGACGCTTCCCTCTTTATTTATTTTGGAAACGGTTTGTTTGATTCGAAAGCATCTAAACATTTTTCCCGATAGACCTGACCATGGCTACTCCATTAGAAATTCGGATTGTAACGTTTATTTGCCGATCCCGTCCACTCAGCTAGTAAAGAATTCTATTCTATATCGTGCAAAGAAACTTTATAATCACCTTCCAAGAGAAATTAAATCCGCAACATCCTTCATTAAGTTTCGTAAGGTGACAAAAATCTATCTCTCAGAAAGACCATATTACTCAGTTGACGAGTTTCTTAATGTATAACAAAGAAACAAAATTAGTATTGTTTATAATTACATTTGGGTGTCTCAAGCAGTGGCTACAATTTGTCTCATTTGTTGTTGTTTGTACAAATTATGTAGGTTATACAATAATTTTACTAATTTAAAATTGTGTTATTTTGTTTTTTACTATATTGTTTTTGTTTTATACTTTTTGTATTATTTGACTGATTTATTTTTTAGCTTTGTCCATAAAATTGTTCAATAATTTTCAGTGACAATAAAGCATATTTCTATTCTATTCTAATATTAAGAAATGTAACGATTACAATAAAATACATGTATACCTTCGAGTTTAAATAAATCGAAAACGGTGATATCTATCGAAATATTACAAGAGCACCTTTTTGCGTAGAAAAGTCTAAGAAAACAATTTTTTAAATATTTTTTTAAAATATGTAAAAATTAAAAAACATGTGACGCAATAACCCCCACTTACCTTCCAAAACTACCCTGTATTAATATAGGATGTGGTAGGTGATGACATGAAATTAATTATCCTAATGTCTTATAATCACTCCCAAAATATGAACTCCGTATTCAAAACCGTTTGGAAGGTATTTGAAAAAATAACAATTTCAATTCACCCCTTTAAAGGGTTGTATCTCCCTTATTATTCAGTTTTATAAAAAAGTGTACATAAAGAAGTACCCTTACTTTTGGACGTACTATGAGCTCTAGAAATTAATGTACATAATTCTGGACCACCTTGTATATATATATATATAGCAAAACTGGTAGGATTATCGACCGAAACGTAAATAACAATTTATTGTTTTGGACTATCAGGTATGCGGTCTGTTATTAAAAAAAACTCTTTTTTCTTTTATTACTCTATATTTCGCTGATTTTTGTCAGCTTCTTCAGGAGATAAAGATTAAGAGTTTATATATTTAAAAATGTTTAACATAATATATTCAAAACAGTACTTTTTATTTTTATTTTTTTTACAGTATTAGTCAAAAGCATCTAGTCACTAGTAATTAAATATAACAAAAAAAATTATAATAAATAGAAAACAAAAACAACCAAGAAACAATAAAAACACAATAAAATTACACATTAAAAATATACAGGGTGATTTAAAATATAATTGTAAAAAAAAATTATTTGAACATACTAAGAATATTACAGTAGATATTGCTCAACTGTCCCGTATCTGCCTTATAATTAACTTTATAAGTACTGTTTTGAATATATTATGTTCAATATTTTTAAATATTTTAACTCTTAATCTTTATCTCCTGAAAAAGCTGACAAAAATCAGCGAAATATAGAGTAATAAAAGAAAAAAGAGTTTTTTTTAATAACACACCGCATACCTGATACTCCAAAACAATAAATTGTTATATATATATATATATATATGGATTTTTATTGACTATAAAAAAGCACTCGAGATAAACTACGACATGAATAATTAATGAATGTCCTGAAATCAAAGAAGATTGGCTACAACGACCTCAGGATCATATCAAATTTATACTATAAACAGCTAGCAAAGTACGTGTTAATGAACAACTGTCAGAAGAAATTGAAATTAGACTTGGAGTGAGACAAGGATGCGTATTGTCGCCAATTCTTTTTAATGCCTACTCCGAAGAGATCCTAAAAAAAGATCTTGATGATAAAACAGCTGAAATAAAGCTAAATGCAGTTCTCATTAACAACATTAGATATGACAACAAGAAGACGAAATTTATGAGAATATCGAAAACTCAAAGAAATAACGAGAATCTTTTAATAAACGGAACCAATGTCGAACAAGTGGACAAATATGCATATTTGGAAACAATAATTTACTCCACAAATGATTACATTTAGGAGATCAAAATCAGACTAGAAAAGACTAGAGCAAATTTCAAGAAAATCAGAAGAGTGCTATGTATAAGATATTTAAAATTGGAAGACTTAGAAGAAAAGACTTAGGTTGAAGAGGTGGTATGTTTTTCCGTCTTTGTTTTATATAATGTAATCTTGCTTGAAGAGAAAAGTTTTTGATCAGTGTGTATTTAAAGTTCTAACATATGGAGCAGAAACATGACACTTACCAGAAAAGTAATTAATAAGATACAAGTGGCACAGAGAGCGATGGAGAGGTCAATGTTGGGCGTATCACTCAGGACAGAGTTTCGAGTCAGATAGTAAGGAGAAAAACTGGTGTGACGGACGCAGTTGAAAGAATTACAACCCTGAAATGGAACTGGGCAGGACATGTTGCTAGGGTCAGAGATGGAAGATGGACAAAGAAAATTTTAGAGTAGAGGCCTAGACACGATGCTTATCGTAGTCGAGGACGTCCTCCAACAAGGTGGTCGACGATTTAAAAGCGCATCCAGTCTAACTGGATTCAAGTTGCTCAAGATCGGATGCAATGGAATTATTTACGGGAGGCCTATGTTCAGCAGTGGACGCAAAATGGCTAATGATGATGATGAATCTTGCACCTTGAATGCGACATCAACGAAAAATCTGGAATCATTCGAGCTGTGAGTGTATAAAAGAATTCTGAAAATATCGTGGACAGAACACGTCACAAAGAAAAAGGTTCTGAGAAGGATAAATAAAGAAACAGAAATTTTAAATACAATTAAAACAAGAAAATTGGAATATCTCGGACATATTACACGTGGAGAGAAATACACCTTGCTCCAACTGATTATGCACGGAAATATCCAAGGAAAGAGAAGCATAGGGAGGCGTAGAATTACATAGCTGCGCAACCTGACAGAGTGGTACGGATGTATATCAAATGAACTTTTCAGAGCAGCCGTCTCAAAAGTCTGAATAGCTATGATGATTGCCGACCTCTGCCGCGGAGATGGCACTTGAAGAAGATGAAGAAAATTTTCACAATAGTTTCGGATGAAGCGTGGTATAAACTAATTTTTGAAAACCATTTAACAAAAATCTAATGTCCAACTTACAACAAGCAATGTGTCATAATAAAATGTTTCTTATTTAAAATACAAATTTTGATTTTTCAGAAAGAAAATAAAATGTGGTACTTGCTAGTAGTGGCAATTAGAGCTTTGGTACTAACCCCTCTATTCATATTCTTTAATGCCAGGCCTCGAACTTTGGCAGTTTGGTTTCCACACGACTATCAGTATATGATCACGATGGCGGTATTTAGCTTTTCAATGGCTGTAATGGTAGGCGATAACATTCTGAGCATTCCTAAGTAAGTAGATCATAAATTTCTATGCTCACTTTAAACCTAATTCTTTAACTTCTAACTAAACATGTTATTTACATTTCAGTTTTGCCGAAGACAAAACCGAAGCGGTTTACACGATAATGCCAGGGCTGATGACTGTGTTTGCGGCTGTTTTAAGTCCTCTTAATCCTTTTTATATAAAAATTCTCAAGTCGTAATAAAAATAGAAGTTTATTTATATTTATTTAAGTTTATATTTATAATTTGAATAAAAAAGTTTTATAAAAAGCTTGATGTTTTTGTGGATTCCAAACCTTTTGCACTGTTAAACTAGGATAAAAAACCAAAATAAAAAGAAGTACAGAAACTGGTCTCAAAGTACATATATGGTGCACAAAATACAAAAATTTAGTGATTTATATGGGTAAACCACTGATGTACTAGTCTACATCACCATCATTTATCTCTACAATTCTATGTGAGTGTTGGCCGCGTTTACTATTTCCCTCCATTGTTGTCGGTCCTGAGCAGCTATTTCCCATTACTGTATTTACATTTTGAGTAGATCACTGGCTACTGCATTCTTCCATATCTTTCTTGGGCGACTAGCTGACCTTCTGCCATCGGGCCTTTCCCAGAATATGGCGTTCAAGAGTCTGTCGTTACTCGATCTTAGCACGTGGACCGCCCATCTTATTCGGTTTGCTTTAATGTGGCGTACTATGTTTTCATCTCCATTTTATCTTCATCTCCAGCAATTAAACAAATTAATCTTCAATTAATTTTCAAATAACTTAAAAACATCTCTAAAAACCCTAAGACAAAATTTTTAAGCAAACGTTATTGAAAGTGGTAACATCAAAAAGTCTATAAATACATACGTTCCTCCATAAAAAAATTGTTTAAAATCCTTTATAAAAGGTATATAAAAATGCCCCAAACGCATATTTATATACCTTTTATAAAGGATTTTAAACAATTTTTTGTGATATATGGTATACAACCATCTACAGGAACTTAGTTTCCTGTGGAACGTTCCTTCATGACATCTAAAGTTTCCATTTCGCTACTTCAAAAATCCAAACCAGACTTTATGCTCTTCTGACAAAGAATCTTCTGAAACTCTCTCTTTAGCATTTTCACAGGTTTTTACTAAAGAACTAAATGATGGTTATCTACCTGCTGTTAACTGTAATCGTGTCGGCGCATCCTTACAGCAAGTTGAATTCACAGTGGATCATGTCAAACAACACTTAATTAAACTTCGCACGGCCGCTTCACCTGGTTTAGATGGTTTAACACCAAAACTGTTAAAAAGGTGCGCAGACACGCTTGCAATACCCTTAACGTTAATTATGCAAACCTCTTTCATCCAAAACTCCCTACCCCCTAGTTGGAAATTAGCTTCCGTTACCCCTATTTTTAAAAAAGGCAACAAACTCGACCCCAACAATTATCGTCCGATTAGCTTGCTGCCAGTAGTTGCCAAAGTTATGGAAGCCATTATTTCCGAGGAGATGACCAAATTCCTTCTCCAGGAACATGTTATTCCAACACAACAACATGGATTTGTCTCTGGTCGCTCTACTCTAACCAATCTCCTACATTGTGTTAACAACTGGACGCCATCCCTTAACAGTTCGCAGCCGGTCGACGTTGTTTATCTAGATTTTTCTAAAGCCTTTGACCGTGTACCTAAGCGCAGACTTCTACATAAGCTAGAACATTTCAGAGTTCGCGGTACTTTACTTCGTTGGATAGATGATTTCCTGACAGATCGATATTACAAAGTTAGAGTTGGCGAATCTTTCTCACAGGACAGGTTAGTGGAAAGTGGAGTGCCTCAGGGTTCTGTCCTTGGACCTCTGCTTTTTTACGGTTTACACCAGCTATATTCCTTATTATGTCTCAAGTAAAATATCGTTTTACGCTGACGACACAAAAATATATGCCAATCCAAACACAAACCAGCTAACCCTCCAAATGGACTTGGACTCTATTTTAACTTGGCGTTCCCAGTGGTTACTACCCTTAAACGCGGAAAAATGTGTAGTGCTTCGAATTGGCAAAAATAACCCACTTGTGCCGTACTTTGTTAACGGGCAGCCATTAGAATCTGTGTTTTCGTATAACGATCTTGGTGTTATTGTGAACAGCAGCCTAACTTGGTCCGATCATATTACCACTATTTGTAAACGTGCAAAATCCAGACTGTATCTTATTCGGAGGTGTTTTTCGGGAGTTTCAATGCAATCGTTTTGCAAATTTTACACTCTGTACGTAAGACCCATACTTGAATACGCTGGACCAACGTGGTATCCCGATCTGGTTCGAGACAAGACTCTGTTGGAAAACGTTCAAAGAAAAGCCACTCGAATTTCTTTGGGACCGAGAAGACCGTCTTATGCAGAAAGATTTAGTATGGCTAACCTAACTACTTTTGAACTTCGCCAACAACGTGGAGACTTAATTACAACATTCAAAATACTAAAATTCAATTTTGGAAACCTCGATGAAATATTTATCATAAACCAAGATGAACGCCTCAGAGGTCATCAATATAAACTAAAGAAAGAAAATTTTTTCTATAAGACAAAGACATATCGTTCTTCCAAATAGAGTTTTTGAGTGCTGGAATAACCTCAATTATTACATTGTCTCCGCTTTCTCTATTAACTCGTTCAAAAACAGACTCGACAGTTTTATATTATAGTTTAAAATATTGTTTTTTCTTTTAAACCAAAAATTGTAATTTTATTTCTTTTAGTTGTAATTTTTGTTATTTACTAGTAGGTGATAAATGAAATTTCTTTGTTTTTGGGCATAATAGGGACTTAGTTCCTCTGCCCTCGCTTATACTATAATAATAATAATAATATAATGTCTGGAGTTCATCATTGTGTCCTTCTCCATTCTCTTGTTGTCTCTTCTCTGTAAGGCCCATAGATAGTCCGCAGTATCTTTCTTGCCAGTACTAGTAATTTTGTCGTTTCCCGCTGATTCAGAGTCCATGTCTCGCTTCCATACGTTATTGTGGGACGAATTATTGTCTTGTACACTCTTATTTTTTCTGGTTTTGAGAGTATTTTTGATTTAAGTACGGTCATTAATGAGTAATATGCTCTGTTTCTTACAATGATCCTGGCTACGACGTCCTTTTCAATTTTATTTTCAGATGTTCAGCTCCCAGGTACTTGAATTCTTTGAAGACTTTGACGTTTTGTCTAACCCTTGATCTTGGGTTCTTTGTAACCACCATGTACTTGGTCTTGTCCTCGTTGTCCTTCAGACCAACTTTCTTGGCTCAGTTTCAAATAGGGTGAAAACTTCTTTTGCGTCTCTGGTGGATTGTGCAATTGTATTTATCCGCAAATGCCAATAGTGTTTTTGATCCTTGGGCGGCAAATCCGTTTGTCAGTTGTGGTAGAGCTTTCCTCACCGCATGTTCCAGTGCAAAATTAAATAGCAGGGGGGCGAGAGGATCTCCTTATCTAAACCCTGTGTCAATGAGGAATTTCTCCGACGTGGTGTTGCCAATTCGGATCCGTGCGGAAGCGTTCTCTGTGCTCACCTGTGCTAATCGTACCAGATTTCCAGGTACTTTCATTTCTACCATAGTCTCCCACAATGCTTCTCTACTAACAGAATCATGAGCTTGTTTAAAGTCCACGAAGATTTGGTGTACATCGCGGTTAAATTCCCAGTTTTTTTTCCAACACCTGGTGTAGAATGAATACCTATCTGGTGTATGGTCGACCTCTTTCCCAGACTTCTCTTATAAGATAATATATCTTAAGGTGAAGCTTTTCTACCCCTTTTTTTAGTAGTTCAACCTGTATGCCGTCTGGGCCTGGGCTTTAGGGACGAAATTGCTGATGTACTAGTAAAATACAAATATTCCTAACATCAACCTATAGGCTCTATTAGCTTGGGTTTACAGTTTACTTTAAACGCTATCGACACTGATATCATTTTACTTTGTTAGAGGTCACTATTAGCATTTGTTGCTGCAATGTTTTACCTGGATGGTACGCGGCCGACCAATTCACTCTTCTCGCAAAGTCTTCCTTGGCTTATGGAGACAAATTTGATATAGAATAGAGCTCTCTCTTATATACCCTGAGTTACCGATAAGCAACAATAGATATATCAGAGTATCGCTGTCGAACAATAATGCTGTCGAACAATATTATTGTCGAACAATAAGAGTTCCTCGGTTACAACCCAGATATGTTTTGCACCGCTCCAGTGGACTTAAGTACACTTGCAGCTCTCTCAACAGATTTGGAATTATCTTTCTTCGGAAGAGACAGAATTAAACAAGCTGATGGTAGTGTTTTGTTTTAGGCAGGTATTATGACAGGTGGACGCACAGAATTGGTTATTATTGACGAGACTCTAACAGAACAAAGGTATATCAAGTCAATTGCATTTTTACCTTGTTTAAGCTCTATGCTTCTTCAAGGGTGGGTTTGATTATTTGGATGCTATTGCTTGTTTGGTTTGAAATGCCAGTTTTCGCTCGTACGACTTCAGGTTATGGACTCCGAAGACTAGGGCGCCGCCGCTAAAGAAGTGTATAGGAAGAGAAGGAGGACAGGAAGGATACCGGAAGGATACCCGAGAAGGCAAGAAGTGGAAATCGTATCTTCCGGAAGAGTTAGCCAAGTGCACCAAGCCTGTCACGAAGTACAAGTTCCGTGGAAAAACGATTCCTTTCAGATTATTGGCCATTTTAGTTTGTTGGAAAATGCGTGGAGGATAGCTGTGGCTATATCCTCACCTAGGATCAGGTATCATTGTGCAATGAAATTGGGAAACCACAGAAAACCAATCTTTCCCTGTCCTTGTGATTGTTTAAGCGACTCTTAAGGAGTGTAGACGGTGCTCACAGTGTAGTGATGTGTTGAATGTTTGTGGCGTTTTTTGTGTGTTTACTGGTTAGGATTATGTGTTTATTAATTGTGGTATTGGATTTAGGTGCTTATTAATTAGGATTGTGAGCGGAGTGGAGGTAAAGTGAGTGTAGATGGATGTTGTTTGAGTGTGTGTGAATGTGTGATGATGTGTGTAGTGTGTTTTTTAGATGTGTAGGTGGGTGAAGGTTTAATTGATGAGGTTGTTTGTGCATGAAGTGGCTATAGCACATCCATACATTGCATTTGAGATTTGGTTAAGGAATAGGGTTATTGCGCTTCTCTTTTCAGGGAAGACGTTGAATAGGAGCATGGATGTGAAATGTATTAGGGATTTCATATCCGAGGATAGGTCATAGGAAGGGATTT